GGTTCCAAAGCCTGGGTTCTTTCCTCTACAGTGTGTTGCTTTCTTCTAGTTATTCGGGCAGGTCATCCTTATTTTGAGCCCATTTGCAACATTAGCCTAGCAGAGTGTCTCTGGGCCTCCCCTCAAACATAGTAGGCCTTCAATAAATATTTGATGAATGAATGAATGAGCCACTTGTGACAAGGGACCTTCACAGCCTCTTCTAGAAAGTCACATGTGCCCTGATAGTCAAAAGGAATCCAAATGGGTAAGTACGGGAAACCTGAACTTCTAATCATTTTCCTTTAGTGAAGATGGGAATGGAAAAATCATCTTCCTCACTGAATTATGTACCCACGGCCAATTGACAGCGAGGATAGGAACATAAAAGGCATATTCCCAGCAGAAACTGCCTCGGGGGTTGGAAACAAGATCCTGTTTGTAACTCCAGAGCTGAGTCCCAGGGGTAGGGCTCAGCTTTCCCTGGACTGATAATGACTCAACTAAAGTCATTACAGATATTTTAAAAAAAAAAAACTCTCAAGGTTTCCCAGCTAGAAGAGAAAGCAAGTATCTTTCCAAAACAGATAGATAACCTAATAATCACAGCAAGGCAGCTTTACAAAGCACTTCATCTTTGGTTGTCACAACAGCTCTGTCAGGTAAGCAGAGAAAATTTTATTAGCCCCATTTTACAAATGAGGAAACTGAGTCTCATAGGATTTAACTGACTTGCCAAAGCCAGCAATAATAACAACTCACATTTAAATAATGCCTAAAGGTTTGCAAAGCCTTGAATATAGTACCTCTAAGTTTCATAACAATGTGAAGTGGTGGTATTAATCTCCCCATTTTATAGGTTCAGAAATCTCTTTCATATAGTATCTCATTAGGTCATCACAACTCTGTGAGGCAACCTGGGTGAGTTTCATTAGTCCCATTTTACAAATGAGGAAACTGAGGCTTATAGGATCTAAGTGACTTGCTGAAGGTAACAAATCCTGAGTACTAAGCAATAAATTGACTTGCATAAGGTTGCATACCTAGTCAAAGAATGAGGCAGGATTCCACCTCAGGAATTTCTGACTCGAAGTCCAGCACTATCTACTGGGCTACCTATCCACTTAGTCTAACTAGTAAGGAAGTAATGGAGCTGGGACCTGAACTTGGGCCTTCTCATTCCAAGTCCCATGCTCTTTCCACAACACTATACCTGCCTTCCAGGCAAGTGAATTTAAGGTGAACTGAACCATCCTGAAAGTCATTTATTTTCCATCAGCAGAAGAGAAAATCTAATCCTCTTCCATTTTAATCAAACTGAAAGGCTATTTGTGGCCACAGCCCCCTCCTCTAAAAGCTCTGCTCCCCCCAGCACCATACCTGAAGTAGGGTATTTGAGGTCACAACCTCATTTAAGGATGGCCAGATCCCATTTGGAAGGCTTTGACTCCTCAATTACTTAAAAGATGATGCACATTTATGTGCCCTATGATTATACCATAAAAACTAAGGGGCCTTTAATAAGGTTATTCTCTCTTTATAGCATGACCCTGTTAATGATGACCTATCCTCCAACTCAAAAAAAAAAAATCTCTTCCTAAGATGCAGCTTGAGCATTAACTCTGCATGGGGGTTCTTAACCTGGAAACTGGGAATTTATTTTGTTTTTAATATTTTGAAAATTGAATTTCACTATACTTGGTTTCCTTTGTAATCCTATGCCTTTTATTTTATGCATTTCAAAACATTATTTTGAGCAAGGGTCCACAGACTTCAAAAAAAGGTGAAGAAGCCCTGCTCTACAGGAAGCCTTTCCTGTTCCTCTCCCACCAGCACCCCTCTAAATTCCTTGTATTTGACTATCTCATATTTGTTTTTGTTCTATTTGTATTTATTCTTATACTTGTCACCCTGTTAGGATGTGAAATCCTTGAGAGTAGAAATCGATTCATTCTTTGTATTTATGTCTGTCTCTTCCCCCTGCCCCCAATTAGCACAGTACCTGGCACAGATTCCAAAGAAGCACAAAATCATCAGTTTGGAACCTCCCTCCCCCCAACCCATCCTTTCCTACCTATCCTATGAACCTCTATTCTGGGTCAATCCAAAAGTTTTCCAGACAGTATCCACCTAACAAGCTGGAGGCCTTCTCTGCTTTTGTCCTACGTTGTAAGGGGCAAGTGAAGCTCTCTGGGCATCCAGCCGGCATCCCTCCTCCTTGCCACAGGACCAGTCCATCTTTTCTTTTTGTCATACAATTCCTCAGTCACATCCTTTATTCTTATTGTTCTGCTTTCAGAGCTCTTGATAGTTATCATGTGGCTACCCTCCCAAAGCCACCACAAGCCTTTGCTTGGCCCTCTGTTCATCTTTAGCTCATTGGTTGACTGTCTGATTGACATCTGAGTTCCCATTAGCACAGAATTCCTCTGCAACACAGCGGCCCTTCCTTCCACTTGGAATTTCATCCCAGCTCCATACCTGAACAACAATACTGTTGAACCTAAGGCAGGAGTATACTGGAGTTGGCTCAAAAGAACTACTTGTTAAATTTTCTGTGTGAGCATTTACACTTTAGAAATTGGCAAATGCTCTGCTTTGTTGATTTGTAGACTTAAGAAGGGGAGCTAGGTGGCTCCACAGTGGATAGAGTGCCAAGCCTGGAGTCAGGAACTCATCTTCCTGAATTCAGATCTGTTATCAGACATTTAGTAGCTGTGTGACCCTGGGCAAGTCACTTAACTATGTTTGCCTCAGTTCTTCATCTACAAAATGAGCTGGAGAAGAAAATGGCAAATCACTCCAGTATCTTTGCCAAGAAAACCCCAAATGGGGCCGTGAAGAGTCGGATACAACTGAAAATGACTAATCAACAACAACAAAGACTTAAGAAAGCGATGGAGAAAATATTCATAATGAATATTAAACTTTAAAGTGTCTCTTGTGTACATTTCTTCCCTCCTCCCCAAAGAGTCAGCTGTCAGACATTTACCAGCAAACCAATGACCTGAGGTACTGTAAGTATGTAGTGGTCACTGCTCTCACCTATACAATTCTCTCCACTGATATAGCACACACAGACTCAGGAGCCATGGCTATTGCTTAGGACTAACTCAAGCCACTCTCTCTGACACTCATTTTGCAGCAGAAGATAGTGGTTTTTGAGAGAAAAAGTGAGAATAAGGAAAAAGAGAGAGCCATATGGCTTAGCCACTGGTGGGGTTTTTATTTTTTTCCCTAGGGGCCAACAATTATTTCTTTTTGCTGTTGGATCCAGAAAGGATCCCTTGTACCTAGCACAGTGCCTGGCATATAGTAAGTACTTAATAAATGCTTGTTAAATTAAAATTGAATTGATTTCTTCCTCCCCCCCAAAAAAATTATCAAAGAAATACTATCCACTGTACTCCATACCATCTCTTCTATACCCCAACCCCTAAAAAGGGAAATGGGGTGGGTCCCTTGAATGATGGCAACTACATGTATATAATGTGTTCACTTGAACTTGGATAAGAAACTGATTTATCATCTACACCAGAATCATTCAATATGCCTAAGACAGGGAAGAAAAATACAAATGAATTTCTGAGGATATAATGAAATCCTAAAGTACATTTCAGAAGCTGCCCTCCTGGACATAAACAAAGCAGGTTGGTAACAACAAAGAGCAGGTCACCATAACAAAACATCTCATCGACTGGACCATAAATCAAGCATCCTCCTCTGTCTCCAGACTGGCAGTCAGTGATTTCCACAGAGACATGATTACACAGGCAGATGCCTTGAACAGCTCCGTGAATGCACAACAACAAAGCAGCTCAACCTGAAATCACAGGATTGAGAGCCGGAAGGAAGCTGAGGGGTCATCTAGCCCAGGGGCTCTTAACCCGGGGTCCATAAACAGCAGATCCATAAACTTGATTTTTTAAAACATTTTGTAAGCTATTTCAGTACCATTTTGTAATCAAAGATATTTTATTCCATACATTTAACAATATTATTTTGAGAACGGATCCATTTGCTTCACTATACCGTCAAAGGTTTTCATGACACAAAGAGTTAAGAACACCTGATTTAGTCCAACCTCCTCATTTTACAACTGAGGAAACTGAGGCCCAGAGAGATTAAAGTAATTTGTTGAAAGTTACATAGTTAGTAAGTAACAGACCCAGGATTTGAATTCAGGTCTTCTAACTCCAAATCTATTGTTGTATGCTGTACCATTCTTTAAAAAAAATTTTAAAAAGCTATACTATTGTATTCTCACTACTCTTTTTGAGGGACAGAAAAGGGGAAAATAACCATCTACTCAGTGATAATAAAGCTTCTTATAAAACTTGGGCTCCCATTGCACCAGAATCATTATCAGCAACTTTTTGCAACTGAACAGGATAGAGCTTATTTCACTTCCCCAATATCAACATGGCACTTCCAAAAGATAGAAGGAGTTAAGATGGCTCTAGGAAGCAGTGAATTCTGCCCCCTAACAGAAAGGGAAGTCTCTGGGCTCCTGATAATTAATGACTCCATCTTGCAGCTGAAGTTGCTTGTGTGTACACATTTGCCTTGTTGTCCAAAGTATGGAAATTGTGAGGATAACACATGGTACTGAATGGGGAAGGATGAGAGAATCATGTTGATAGCCCTAAATGGAACAGAAAAGGGACTACCATTTTCTAAACCTCAACCAACCTTTCCAACTTCACTTGGCATTTTTCCCCCACAGGGCAACAGAACCAGAATGGTATTACAATAAAAAGAACACTGAGTTGTGGGGTCGGAGGACTTGTGTTCAAATCCTGGCATTGACACTTAGTACCTGGATCTTGGGCCAGTCACTGAACTTTCCTGAGTCTCGATTTCTTGATTTATAAAATGAGGGGGTTAGAGCAAAAGGCCTCCAAGGTCCCTTCCAGCTCTAATATGATTCTAATATGATTATAGAGTAATTGGAAAAAAACCCACAACCCAATTCTTGGGTATCTTTTTATTCAAAACCCAAGTTTGGGATCAACACTTACATTTCATTTGCTTGGCGATTGACTTGTTGGGTTCTAGCCAGTGCTGGAAAGGAAAAGAAGAGACCCACAGTCAAAATGCTGCATGGTACAGTGAAGATGTAAAAACTAAGAGGCTTTTAATAAGGTTATTCTCTTTTCATAGCATGATTCTGGTAATAATAACCCATCGTCAATTGCTCCATCCTCAGAAGGTCACCATGAACTATTTAAGCAATAATAATAGAGGAAAGGGTCTATAATTACAAACTAATAATATTAATGTCTACATGAGTAATATTTGAGTCACAGTGCATCCGATAGGGAGGCATTAGGAACACAATATGCACTCAAGGATGAAATCCCTCACTGGTTTACGAATGAATTTAGGAACTGTCAATTCGGTCTGGCCTTCCTAGGGATATAGTCAGTTCTGCTTTAACAAGACATGTGCATTCCTAAAAATCACTGTACTATGCAAAATTGCACGCTAAAAACCATAGGGTTTATACAGAAAATGGGGTCAGGAATACAACACTAAACATAACTTCATCAGTGATAGGTTAAAAAAAAAGACAGAACCTAATAATAATCGTGTCACAGTTTTATACATGTTAAATAGTTAAGAAATACATAAATACTATAACAAATAATGACAATGTCCATGGCTGATCCTGCCGCTCAGCCTATCCCCAGTTCCCATGGGGTCCCAGGCTTACTACCCATCAGGATGGTAAAGTCAATGACTCTGGACAGGGCAAAGGGTAGCCTCAGAAGGCCATAACTCCAAGACTTGTTCAAGTTGGGATGTTGAATGAGCATTTTTTCATGTAGAAAAATTCATAATGAGGAAGAGTAGCAAAACACAACCTTGTTGTATAATACATGTGGTGAGAACAGAGGTAAACTTTTGAGGTATCTTTGTTTTGTCCACTCCAATGGGACTTGGTTTTTAGCTGGGTGTAGTATTCTGTGTTTTTTTTTTTTTACTAATATACATAAATAAATGCAAAATTCAGGTTATGCTCAAATTGTTCCCTGATATGTCAATCATATTGAAACAAATTTGTGTTTTCAAAGCAGGTGTTATAGCAAAACTGACTGTGTGAAAAAAAAAAAGACTCAATTAGACAAACACTAAGCAATACTATTGAATAACCATCTCTACCTCCCTTTATCCTTAGAATGGTGTTTTAAGGCTGCCTCACAATAGCCCAAAAATAATAATTATAGGTTTGCAAAGCATTTTACATGCATTAAATTATTTGATCTCCACAACAACCCTGTGAGATAAATGCTATTATCTTCATTTTACAAATGAGAAAATAGAGGCACAGAAAAGTTAAATGACTTACCCAGGGTCACAAAGGTAGGCGGTGTCTGAGGCAATACTCAATCTGAGATCTTTCTGACTTCAAATCCTACACTCTATCCATTGCAGTATCCTCCCAGTCTTAAAGATCAGGAATCTAAGGCTCAAGGAGGTTAAATCACTTGTCCAGGATCACAAGGAATATATTTTAGATGTAGGATTTGAATTCAAGTCCAGAAATCTTTCTACTATACCATCTAGCCTCAACAAACTTTAAACTTTTCTTTATGAGTCTGGACTACCACTCAGAATAGTTATTATTGTGCTATAATGTATCAAGGGGCAGCTAGATGGCACAGTGGATAGAGCACTTGGAATCAGGAAGACTCATTTTTATGAGTTCAAATCCAGCCTCAGACACTTGACCCTGGGCAAGTCCCTTTAGGCCCTGTTTGCCTCAGTTTCCTCATCTATAAAATGAGGTGGAGTTCCCTAGAGCACTTAGTGGATAAGTGACTTGCCCAGGGTCAGAAGGCATACTTGAATCCAGGACTTCTCAGCTCTCTAGCCACTTATACCATACTGCCTAATTAAGGGTCTTATTATTGCTTTTTTTTTCCTTCAGGAAAATAGAACCATATTTCTAGGAAAACTAGAACTTTTCCTAGTTCACAGCTGTGTTCTTACAGATAAAAGTAACTGTCATATAACTAAGAAATGAGAGTTCAAGCACTGTGACCTGTTGCGAGGTCATTTAAGGAAATCATTTTTTTGAGCTTCAGAGGAAGCACTTTATGCATTGAATAGAGTCCACAAACCTAGAGTAGAAACAAACTACTTTGTTTTCCAAGATGGTGCTTGGGTTCACTAGCTGATGAAACTGTTACTTTTCAGATAGCCCCATCATCTTTACTGTGATTATTTTCTACTCTTTCCCATCTGCAACTAAGGGCCAGCTAACCGACAAAAAATAGGACTGTCAAGCCATTCACCTCTCCCCTCTTTCTAGAATTCTTCTCCTCCTTTTTCAAATCATTCTGCCCCATTAAAGCTGTTGAAATGAGTCAGCAAATGATAAGTCAGAGACATACCAGTAAATCAAATCATGCGATTATTGTACATATAAATAGATTATACTTAGGCTATTTTTTAATAGTCATTTATTCTGCTTTGTAATCAGATGTAGTAATTAGAACATCTCTGATTTCACTGCCATTTTCCTTGCAAATGAAACCTGGAGTATGCAGCACACTGGGCTTGCTTTAAAAAATAACTTTTCCCTTTCATCAATAAGCATGCTGTTGCCCTGGAGAAAAGGAAGATGTTGATCCTGCTAACCAACAACATACCTCAAGATGATGCTGGCTTACAAGAGGTAAGGCCCTCATCAGCTCCCATCTGGACTATTGTAATAATCTCCTCATTTTCAGTCCCTTTCCTTGCCCATCCATTTACCAAATAGTTGATAATATAATCTTCCTTTGAGGCAGAGGTCTTACTAAGGCCCTCCTCTGCTCAAAAGCTATCAATGGCTCCTCATTAGTGCCAGAATAAAATGCCAACTCCTTGGCCTGACATTTAAAACCCTTCATAATCTGGCTTCAACCTCCCTTTCCAGCTTTATTTCACATTGCAGTCTTGTAAGCACGCTATGTTCCTCATGTCCCACATTTGACACTCCCACTTCTCTTCCTTGGAACAGACTGTCCCTCTTTCCGGAAATGAACTAGCTTTTCATCTGCCCTGTTTTTGACCCTCCCTTCCTCCTGCCCTTTTCCCCTTCATTGGATCAGTATTCTCCAGCCTAGACCTGTAGAGGCCTGAGGGAATTAAGCCACTCAGCTCCTTCTTGGTCCTGTTGCTATATCTTTGTCCAGATTATGCCTACTAACCATGGGCACTGCCTCAATCAAACTGAGACCTACTAAAAGACCTTAGCTTGAAAAGGCCAAGGTCCCCTACTGCATCCTGGGCCATCTCCAGCTGTCCTGATCTATATGTGGCCACAGAACCCAGATGGTTCCAGAGGATAAAGTAAGGCTGGTGACTTTGCACAGCTCTCTCTCACTTAAATTCATTTCACTTGCATATCATGGCATCACCTCCTTGATGTCAAGGTCTTCTTCTAGAATGAAGGACAAATAACAATAACAACTAACCATGAGTATCCTACAGGACTCAGCACTAGGCCCTCTTCTCTTCTCCCTCTAGACTATTTCATGTGGATCTGATCTCTTGGTTCCCAAAAACCAAATTATCATCTTTATGCTGATAATTCTCAAATCTACTTATCCAGCCCTAAACTTTCTGCTAAACTCCAGTCTTACATCTCCAATTGCCTATTGGACATCTCAAACTAAATGTCCCATAGACGTGTTAAATTCATAATCTTTAATCCCAAACTGAATTTATTATCCTTCTCTTCCAAACCCTTCCCTCTTCCTAACTTCTCTACTGTTGTCAAAGGCACCGCCATTCTCCCAATGACCAAGGTGTCAGCCTCAACTTCTCACTCTCTCTCTTTCTCATTCCTTATATCCAATTTGTTGACAAGTATTGTAGTTATTACCTCCATAAAGTCTCTTGAATAAACCCCCTTCTACCTTCTGACATGGCTCTCACCCTGATACAGGCCCTCATTACCTCACATTTGGACTATTACAGTGGCCTTTTGGTTCCTCTTCCAGTCGTTTCCTCCCACTTTTCAGGTCCTAAGGTGATGTTCCTAAAACACAGGTCTGATCATGTTACCCACTCCCCAGGTCCACTCACTAAACCTCTATCACCTCCAGAATCAAATGTAAATTCTTTTATTTGATGTACAAAGTCCTTCATCACTTGTCCCCTCCTCCTCACCTGTCTTTTTATACTTTATACCCCACCTTGTACTCTGTGATCCACTGACATTGGCCTCCTACCTGTCCCATGAACAAGAAACTCCAATTCTCAACTACAGGCATTTTTACCAGTTGTTCCCCATGCCTGGAATGTTTTCTCTCTTCATTTCTGCCTCCTGACTTCCTTCAAGTCCTACCCCAAATCTCCCCTTCCCTGACCTTCCTAAATCCTAATGCCTTCCCTCTATTGAATATGTTTTTCTTTATCCTGCAGATAGCTTGTTAGTGCACAGTTGTTTTCATGTTGTCTCTGTCATTTAGCTGTACACTTCTTACGAGTAGGGACCATTTCTCGCATTTTTTGGTTTCCCCAGCACCTAGCATACAGTGGGCACTTAATAAATGTTTGTTGATTGACTGAATGATTGGAACTCTGCTTAGGACTGAGCTATCCTGAATGGTAACTGCATGCAAACTCACCTAACCCATTGCTTCTAGAAAGGGCTTGTCAATATTACACCTACTTCCATTCACCATTCCTGTGACTTTCAAAATCTGGTTCCCTTGACACCACAAGCCCATGGATATTGCTTCCCCTTTAAAAGAACAAAAATTCCTAGAGGGCAGAAACTATATTAGTTTTTGTATTTCTATCCCCAGTGCCTAGCACTGTGTCTGGAGCATAGTAGGCATTGAATAAATGCTTTTTTCATTCATCCATCTCCATCTTCCAGAATTCTTATCTTTCTCAAGACTCAGCTCAGAAGCCACCTTCCTCAGGAAACTTTTCCCCAGCCCCACCAGTCCTCAGTACTTTCTCCCTCCTAAAATGATTTTGTAGCTCCTTAATCTATGCCGACATAGTATCCTCCAGCAGAGGTGAAGCTCCTTGAGGGCAGGGGTTGTTTGGTTCTTATC